CCCCCCTCCTCCCCTCGCTCCTCCCCCTAGGCTCCCTCCCTCCCTTCCACCCTCCTCCTCCCTCCTCGGCCTCCCTCCCCTCCCCCCCTCCTCCCCTCGCTCCTCCCCCTAGGCTCCCTCCCTTCCTTCCACCCTCCTCCCTTTCCCTCCCTTTTCTTCCCTTCCACTCTCCTTCCCTCCTTCCACTCTCCTCCCTCCCTTCCACCTCCCTCCCTTCCTCCTTCCCCTTCTCCCTTCTCCCTTCCTCCTTCCTCCCTTTCCTCCCTTCCACCCTTCCTCTCTCCTCCCTTGCCTCCCTCCCTCCCTTCTTCCACCCTCCCTCCATCGCTCCCTAAATCCTTCCTCTGTCTCCCTCCCTCCCTTCCCCCCTCCTCCCTCTTCCCTCCCTCCCTCCCTGGCTCTCCCTCCCTTTCCCTCCTTTCCACCCCTCCTTCCCCTCCTCCTTTCTTTCCTTCCCCACCCTCCTCCTTCCTTCCCCCTCCCTCCTCCCTCCCTCCCTCCTCCCTTCCTCCCTCCCTCCCTCCTTCCCTCCCTCCCTCCTCCCTCCCTCCCTCCTCCCTCCCTTCCCACCTCCTTCTCATTCTCCTTTCTTCCCTTTCACCCTCCTCCCTCCCTTCACCCTCCCTCCCTCCTTCCTCCTTCCTCCCTTCTCCCTTCCTCCTTTCCACCCGCCTTCCCTTGCCACCCTTCCTCTCTATCCACCTTTCGCCTCCCTCCACCCTCCTTCCCGTCCTCCTTCCTCCTCACCCTTCCGCTCCCTTCCACCTCCTCCTTCCTTCCTTCCACCCTCTCTCCTTTCCTTTCTTTCTCCTCCTTCCTTTCACCCTCCCTCCCTTCCACCCTCCCTCCACCATTCCTCCCTTCCTCCCTTTCCCACCCCCTCCCCCCCTTAACACCCTCCCTCCTCCCACCTCCCTCTCTTTCTCACTCTTCCTCACTTCCACCCTCCTCCCTTCCCCTTTCTCCCTTCCACTCTTTCGTCCCTTCACCCTCCTCCCTTCTCCTTTCCACCTTCCCCCTCCCTTTCTTCCTTCCTTCCTCACTTCCACCCCTCCCTCCTTCTCCTTCCCTTCCCTTGCCACCCTCCTTCCCTTCCACCCTCCTCCCTTCCTCCCTTCCTCCCTTCCACCCTCCCTCCCTTCGCCTTACACCCTCCCCTCTCTGCCTTCCTTCCTCATTCCACCCTCCCTCCTTACTCCCTTCCTCCCTTCCACCTCCCGCCCTTCCACCTCTCCTCCACCCCCCTCCCTTCCCTCCCTTCCACCCTTCCACCCTCCCTTTCTTCCTTCATTCCTCACTTCCACCCTCCCTCCTTTCCTCCCTTCCTCCCTTCCACCCTTCCTCCCTTCCACCCTCCCTCCCTTCCACCCTCCCTCCCTTCCTCCCTTCCTCCCTTCCTCCCTTCCTCCCTTCCACCCTTCCTCCCTTCCTCTCTTTCTCCCTTCCACCCTCCCTCCCTCCCTTCCTCCATTCTACCCTCCCTCCATCATTCCTTCCGACCCTACCCCATATGGGTAATGCTATCCCCCGGGCGTGGAGGGAGGTTACCGCAAAGTGGCAGCACTAGTGTTAGGATTAGGGTTCGGGTCAACTGTATCACGTGACCCTTCCTCCACGCCCGGGGGATAGCAACACCCTACCTATATCAACCCATCTTGCCCCCACTCCCTTCTCACCTGTAATATCCTCTCTCCCGCCCGACCCATTCATCAATATTTCGCTCCACCTTCCTCGTTTTCGATAACAGCTAACCGCGTGCAAACATCTGCGAAGGGCGGTGACCGGTGTTGTGTATTGTGCGTGGTCGAGCATGGCATCAGCAGGCATCGTAATCTCACTCCTTTCTCTCACAGATGGCGCCGATCCCTGTGCTTGCTTGCTCTCAATCAATATCGTTTAATCTGCAACGCAGACGTGGGCGCAGGCGCACTAGCGCGCAGTTCTCGCAGCGCGTGCCAGCGAGCGTGCCGTAATCAATATTAGTACCTTTTATTAATTTAGAAAACGCTATATATGTCTGCGTGTGTTCGTGCGTACTACGTGCGACGTGTGTGTCGGTGTGTGTCGTGTGTGTGCGTGCGTGCGCGCGTGCGTGCATGTATGTCTGTGTACGTGCTTGTGTGTGCGTGCTTGCTTGCCTTCCTGCTGGTTCGGCGCGCGATTGGTCACGTATGGCCACGAGAGAGCCCGCGCGTGGCCATGGGCGCGTGCCACATTTCGCCTGTCAGTCAAGCTGCGACGAAGGCGGTTGTAATGACGTGACGGCAGCCCTGGGAACACCAGCAGCGGCGGCAGCAGTAGCGGCAGCAGCACCAATGGCAGCGGCGGCGATAGCAGTAGCAGCGATAGAAGCAGCGGCGGTGGCAGCAACAGCAGCAGCGGCGGCAGTAACAGC